TATAAATATAGTCTGGCTCCTGGCCAATAAAATATAAAATAAGTAAGCGTGGTAGTTACAAGAAAAAATAAATATAGTCTAAGGCTCAATCTTGCCTTAGCTTTAGAAATTCAATTGGAAGGAAGTCTCACATGAGTGAGGTTTTCATCAATCTGCAAATGGGAACCTAGGCAAGAATATTAATCCAGTCTTCTGGAACACTGCTTCATGTTAAATCTGATCTTAAAAACTTCATCATATAAATGGAATACATTTTACACACTTTGTAGGCCAACTAGACCTATCCAACCTATATGGGGGGGGGAGGGTGGTTTATATTTTGCAATTACATCAAGATTACCTTCAACTGTGGAGGTGCAAAGTTTGTTTCTTGAAACACTCTCTTACACCCATTCCCACAGAATCTTTTTTTCCAGTTTTGTTTTTTCCTTTGATGTTTCTCTAAAAGCCTCAACCTATATAAAGCATGTTACAAAAAATGTTCTGGAAGTCTATTAATACATTCCCGTTAGCGTTCTCTGCATATATGTCACACTGATCTTTGGAACTGAAACACTGTTTTTAATCTGTGCTCGTACAACACACAGCCTAGTGGAATCCCAAAGATGAGTTTGTAAGCAGTCCTCAAAGCTCCCAGAGCACTCATCCAGCAGGCCCTCTACCTTACTGATACCTGATGCTTTGAAAAATGTTCTCCTGATTTCTAGCAATCGTATTTACAGAGGGATTCCACTCTGTAGCAATTGCCATGGGTAATTCCTGTTCAGTACTCCTTCTAGGAGCCCTGACTGGTGGTTGCTTTCCCTTGATCCACACTTGCATCATCTGTGTGGCTTGCAGACCCTGGGAGCCCCACCAGAGTCCATGTGACATCCAGTAAGCAGCCCTGGCCATCACTGCTCAAACCCCTTCCCTTGCCTCACTCCCTCAGCTACACAGGTACAGCTTTTTGCAGAAGTGTGTGGTGATCTGAATAAGGGGTTAAAGATTGTGGTTAAGGTTGGGCTGAAAATGTTTACAGTTTTTTAATTAAATAGGGCATGATTATCAAAGTTATTTTAAAATTGCAGTCATCAGCCCCAGCTGTTGCACGTGGGTCATCTTATGGCTTTGGGGACATCTGTGTACAACTGAGAGGGTGGTGCAGAGGCAGAATCTGCTGCTGATAGAAATGCCTGTGAAACGATGAGCTTAGTGTCTTTACTGAGAGAGACGTGTTGACTTCTCTGGAGAGATTATGCCCTTGTTGTCAGCCTGCTTGCCAATTGGCTGTTCCCTTTGTCTGGGCTTCTGCTATTCAGGTAAGAAGTGGTACAAAACCGTGGTTTGTTGCGTGCAGCACATGATCTCTGTTCTCTGCAGATAAATCATTCTGACATGATGTAGCAGTAGCAAGCTGCTTAGCCCGAACAGCTTCTGTTATCTATTTCAGAAGCTTCAGTGGTCTTTAAGTATTTCATCACAAATCATTTCTGGCAAATCCATAAGAATACCAAGCAAAAAGGAGGAGAGTGAAAGTCCTGATTATTGTACTACAATCAGAGAAACACCTTGATGGGCAGTATGAAACATTCCCTAGCTCCTTCCTCAACCAGTAAACCCCTGATTATATTATTATAAATGACTCTTTAAAGGATACATTAGGCAGACATTACATGATCAGTTCACTTCCTTGCATTACTCTGAGACTCTCCCTTCTCATCAGGTGTGAAACCATTAGCCAACCAAGCCTTCTAAATTGTATCACAGAAACATTTTTTCTCAGCTGGTAACAAGTAGATCTCTCAGAAGAATCCCCAGGATGATCTGATCCTACTCCTTTCACAGAATTCAAACTCCTTTTTTTCTGAGAGGACTGAAGTACCAACTTCTTTCTCCTGGCCCAGCCTCCCTCTCCAGCTGTTGACTGTGAAATTCTCCTTATTTACCTGGCAGTTTTACAGGGATTGGTAATGCATCACTATACTTACTTGCTCCCAACATCTTTTCCCCTGGAAATTGACAGCAGGAGTCTTTCCACAGAAAAATATCTCTGTGATGTTACAGCTGCATATCCAACTCCGTACTCTACTACTTTTCCTGTCTTCTCTCCCACATGCAACTCCTTTCAGAAATGACAACCTCAAAATCATATCCTCTGTCAAGAAAAGTTACACAGTTACGCCCTTTCCTCAGTGCAGAACAACACGAGTTGGCTCAATTGGGAAACACTGCCTGAACATCACAAGCTTTTGACTTGAATTCAACTACGGATTTCTTTCTGGAATCAGTACCTGCTTAAGATCAATTTTCACAAGATTTCAGCCTCTGAAACAGCACCCTCATGAGAAGCAATTTTAATCGTACTTGGGCAGAAATACTTATTCTTGATTCCATCTAACTTGAAGTATTTCCCAAGCAATACTTTATTAAAAATGCTTAGTTAAAATGTCACTAAAACAATCCCAAATATTCTGATAATCTTTTACTATTAGTCTTCCCCCTCCCAGCAGCTCTGCAGTCTGTCTCATGAAACTCCTACTGTCTTGTTGCCTCATTATTCCCTTCTAAAATTTTATCGTTATAGCCCACTTCACACCTCCTCTACCATACTGTCAGATGCTACTGTGACCTATGGTACATATTATAGTACTAGTTATATCTATAGAATCAAACCTGTAAAACCTGCACTCTGATCTGGCTGTGACATCTAGGTCACCTTTGTCTGGCTCCCAATAACTTTATGCTACAGCCTCACCAGCTATAAAACTACTTTTTTTCTTTGAGATTTATGGCTGAAAACAACAGAATAGAGCTATATGATAATTCTGCTTACAAAGTTTTCAAGTGTGCTGTTATCTCTTTGAATGACTGAATCCATGCAGAGATTAATTATATATGGTAGACCTAGAAATAAAGTATCTGTAAAAGGCCCTGCTGGACAGTCTGTAAAAGTATCTGTAAAGGGCCCTGCTGCTTTTCAATCAATGATCTAACACACTTTCTGCTTCTTCCACCCACTTAGTCAATTATTCCTTGATGAAGAAGAATAGGTATGAGGCATCCATGCATCTCCAACCTGAAATAAATTGCTGTCTTCCATCTCTTTACTGTGGAGGTCTAAATGATGCTGAATGCATTTAAATTTCCTGTGGCAGGTTATCCTTCCTTGCAGATAAAGAAATTTAGCTCAAGTCTTCCCCCTCCAATTTCTTTGCAAATACCCCTGACTGCATTCAATTGGATGCTGGGAGTGGAAACCAAAAGAACTGAAGCTCTGCCTGAGAACATTTGCCACCCACATACTGCAACAGTGTTCAGGAGCTAAATCTTATTTATGAGGCTTAGTTTCATTTCCAGTCCTTTTTGCCAAAAATCCCAATGAAATGTAATTTGTGCACACAGTGGCCACACAATTTTGGCATTACTTGCTACACTCTTAGTCTGGTCTGGGGTCTACAGACATACTTTAGCCCCACAAATGTGTGGGAGTGTGGATATGACAAATGACATCAAGAGAAGTATGTAGAGACACATTCAACAGGCAATAAAAAATTTCAGAGAACTCTAAAATGAGAGACACCGAGAAAGGTATTAACTGTATTGAAACATCTGAGCATGAGCCCAGAATTGGAAGCAGACAGGTTGCTTTGAACGTTTCATCAGGCACCTTTCTCTATAGTAAGCCAAACTATAGCTAGCCAGTACCCTTTGGACAAATTTGGAACTAAACACGAACACATTTTGCTGCTTAGATATCTTTTGAATAGAAGGCAAACAATTCTGGATTTTGTCATTGTATATTTAGGTTTTAAAAGAAAACCAACTCACTACCTTCATTAATGTTGAAAATTATCAAATTTAAAATTCAATCTCTACCCTCACTCACCTGAAGGACTTGAGGCTGATATTACAGGAACTCATTTTCCAAGTGAGAATGTGTCCATGTGTCACTCTGACGTGGGAACATGTGTGACATGGGACCAATGCCAATCTCAAAGAAGAGCCTTATGGACTTTGATTCTACCCTTTGGGAAAGATTAGTGTACCCCTTTTGCATCTCTATTTTTCAAAAAAGTTCTGCAAATACAAAGGAAACAGTCTCAGTTGCGAATGCCTGCCAGGATAATGTAACTCTATCCCATCCTCTGCTCCGAGTAAAGACTAAGAAACATTCATCATTTGAGTCATTAGCTCTGCCCCTCCCCGAGGCTCCGAGTGTGAAACTGCAACAAAGCAAGCCTCAAACCGTGTCAAGAGTAATATTGTAACTAGCATAGGGTCACAAAACAAGCCTGACCATCTGGTCTGTTTATAAATACCATGCTTGTAAAGCAGCGATTCAAAAACGCTGTCAAATCTCACGGCTACAACCCTTAGGAGCTTTGTGCTGCTTGCAAGCAGATTCCTCGTTTAACTCTTTGCTACAAGGAGCGACAGCGCCCGTCGCATGGGTGGGATGCCTGCGACCCAAGGCCAGGCAGATCCTGGGGCCGAGCCCGGACTTGGAGGGCACCGCTGTGGAGGACGCAGCCACCGAGTTTAAACTCCCTTTCTCCGCGTCTCCCCAGTCCCGTCCCGTTCCCCTCCTATGAAGTGGCGGTGAAAGCGCGTGCAGTCGGCTCCTGGATGCTATTCCCGGATCCGCGCCTCCCGCCCCGGCCCGAGGCGGCGGCGGAAAGGCGCTGCCCGTGGCTTTGCGTCCCCCTTGCCCACCGAGGAGGGGGAGCGGCGGTCGCGACGGCAGCGGTGGAGCTGGGAGGCTCCGGCTGTCCCCTTGGACAGGGACGCGGGGAGCCCGGCGCGGTGGCGGCGGAGGAGAGGGGGACCCTGTGGGGAGACGGTCCCCGGCGGAGGGGACAGCGGCCGCTGCCAGCCCGCGGCACGGGGCACGGAGCGCGGCCGGCCCGGGCCGGCTCGGCCGGGCGCGGCAGCGGGGCCGGGCGGGCGCACGGCTCCTCCCGCCGGGGCGCTGCCGGGCCGGGCCGGGGGCGGAGGAGGCGGGGAAGGGGGGAGCCGCTGCCGTCACCGAGGCTCCCGGCTCGCTCGGCTCGTCGCCGCGGCAGCCCCAGCCCCGCTCCCACCCCCTCGCCTGCCTCCACCCTCCTTCCCTTTCTCTCGCTCACTCGGCGAGAGCGCCGTGCCTCCTTTCCCAGATGGCAGCCGGCAGCGCCATGCAGCCTCCCGTTCCTCCTCCTCCTCTCCCTCCTCTCCGGCTCTAAGTTAATGCCATGCTGCCACTGCTCTTCCCGGCACTGCTGGCCGCCTGCCTGCCGCCCTGCCAGGGCTGGAGCCCCTCGGCGGCTGCCAGCGGGCAGGAGGAGCAGGAGCAGGAGCTCTTCTTGCCCCCTGCCAACTCCTCCTCCCGCTCCTTGGCGAGCCTCGAGATGGACCTCGACGGGGCAGCGAGCAAGGAGGAAGGTAGCACCGATAGCCCGGGCACGCCGGCTGCCCCTAGCCAAGAGCCTTTCTCTTCCGCTCCCACCACCTCCGGGCAGGAGCAGCCGGGGCAGGAGCAGCCGGGGCAGGAGCAGCCGGGGCAGGAGCAGCAGCAGCGTCCCCAGCCGCAGGGGCAGCCGCAGCCCGCCGAGGACCCGCACTGCAACATCAGCGTGCAGCGGCAGATGCTGAGCTCGCTGCTGGTGCGCTGGAGCCGCCCGCTGGGCATCCAGTGCGACCTCCTGCTCTTCTCCACCAACAGCCACGGACGAGCCTTCTTCTCCGCCGCCTTCCACCGCGTGGGGCCGCCGCTGCTCATCGAGCACCTGGGGCTGGCGGCCGGCGGCGCCCAGCAGGACTTGCGCCTGTGCGTGGGCTGCAGCTGGGTGCGGAGCAGGCGGGTCGGGCGGCTGCGGGGCGCCGCGCCCCAGCCCCAGCCCCCCGCGGCCGCCGCCGCCTCTTCCTCCTCCTCCTCCTCCTCCTCCTCGCTTTCCTACCCGCCGGCGGCCGAGCCCGGCCAGTACTGGCTGCAAGGGGAGCCGCTGAATTTCTGCTGCCTGGATTTCAGCTTGGAGGAGCTGAAGGGCGAGCCGGGCTGGCGGATGAACCGCAAGCCCATCGAATCCACCTTGGTGGCGTGTTTCATGACTCTGGTCATCATCGTGTGGAGCGTGGCCGCCCTCATCTGGCCCGTGCCCATCATCGCCGGATTCCTGCCGAACGGCATGGAGCAGCGCCGCGGCACCGCCGCCGGCACCGCCGCCGCCGCCGCCGCCAAGTAGCCTCTCCCGGGGACCCCCCTTCTCTTCGTCTTGTGCTGTGGAGGGACGCGGGACGGACTCTGTCGCATTTTTCTCGTTTGCAGCGTGCCACAGGTGCGCGGCGGGACGTGTGGCCGCCTCACCGCCCGGCCCGGCCCCGAGGGCAGCGGCCGCGAGGGGACCAAATCATATGTGCGCGTTTTATATCTTTAATACCTGTTTTAAACGAACCTTTTAGTAAAAAAACCCAACCCAACCCAACCACCAAACAATCCCTCCCCCTCCAGGAAAAAAAAAAAAAAAAAAAAAAAAAAAAAAAAAAAAAAAAAAAAAAAGGGCAAGAAAGGCTCCCTAACAATTCAGTGGAGGAAATCAAAGACCCTCCTATTCGGCTGCATTTGTTGTCAGAGTAGCGTTTTTGTATAGGATATGGTTTGAACGGGTTTTTCCTTTATGGACAGAAAGGAATCTCTCTCTTTGACAGAATGGGGAACTGATGGGGTATATATATTGTTACTGCTGAAGCTGAACTTTAATGGACCTTTCACACTTTATTTCCTGGTTGAGATAGTGTGTATTTATTATTGTAGCTCCGCGTTATTTGGCTTTTAATACAGAAGTTTTCTTTCTGGAGCCACTATAGCCTTTTGTTGGTCTGTTTCCTCCAGGGTGGAACAGAGGGTTTGGCTGGCCTTCCTGTCTGCGAACCTGCCACAAACTCCTTTCCCCGAGAAATGGGGCTGCTGGTGGCAAAAGGAGAATCGCAAACCCTTTCTGACCGGTGCTTGCCCTATTTGTGCAGGAGGTGTGGGTCTGTGTGCCTACACCAGGGTTGGGTGGGGAACACAGCTGTGCCAGAGATCCTCCAAAGCAGTTTCATCTTCACATCTCCACAGACTACAGCTTTCTCCTCAGTTTGAGGTTGGGTTGCTTCAGTCCTGGGGAAATGAAGCCTATTCTGACTTGTGTTAAACATCGTGGGGCAAGTCTCTTGACTTCCTCAAAGTTCATTTCTCAAAACCAGCTTAGATGCAGTGTATTTGTTGGAGACACAGTGATACTGTACCTCTTTTTCATCAACCAGTCTGCAGGGCTGCTCACAGCAAGTCTGTGGGGTGAGAAGGCAGGAGCTGCCAGTCCAGAACTAGATTCCAGGTGCTGCTGTGCAAGGGTACAAAGAAGAAAGATTTCTTCTCTCTTGTTTGAGCAGACAGCTGTGTAGCCTGAAATACCATTTGTTGTATACTTCCAACTGTTTAGCCTTATAAAAAGTTGTTTCATTTGCCTTAGACATGATTAGTCCGGCTGAAGTTTCTAAAACCACAATATGAGCTAAGTGACGAATATTTGCAATAGGAATTCTCTTTTTTTGGTCAACATCAATGTATTTAATTTGCTAGGAATGCATGAATTTGCTTGGGGCTAATTTGGTGTATTCATAATGTATGGTGGAAATGACTGGATGAAAAGTCGGGAAGGATTAAATTCTTAGGATTCCCATAATTTTTAACTGACAACAAAATAAAATAAATGCATGCTCTATGTGTATGCTGTCTGGACAAAAAGACAGAGAAAAAATATTGACAAACAGCAGAAATAAATCGAGATTTAAAAATGCTTCATGTTACTAGGCTGCCTCTACACCCACTGTTCCTCCTGTTAATCCTCTTGTGGGGTTGTCACTTGAGTAACATTTCAGTGGCATTATTTTCAGAAAGCAGAGGATCTGATCGCTGTGGGAAGTGCTCTCTTGACCTGTTGATCCAAAGGGCACCTGGCCCTGTACACCTAATTTAGAGAGCCTCTATTTTCTTTCCTTGATGTGTAATACAGTGTCATTTCCACCTTGTGCAAACTCTTGTCAGATATTTGACATGCTGGAGTGCAATTCTTTGCCTATTATCTCTGGTGTAACAGAGACACCTCTTCATACTGAAAGGCAGGGCTAGCAGGAAAACATGAAGATAGGGCTAACACCCTCTCAAAAGAGAAATGTTCTACATATGGAATAGACCTCAGAAAAGTTGCCATGCTAGGGAATAATTTCATCTTTTGAATGAGATGCATTTAGGTAGAGTTAGCAATTTTTAGTTAGGTAGAGTTAGCAATTTTCTGGCTTTATTAATTAATGATGTATAGTCCTCACTGTGGTGCCGGGAGCCTGTGCTTAAACTCAAGGGTTGAATCTCTTTTTTGCTTATCCTTATTTTACCAGTGATATGATATTGGTTTTTTTTTTCTGAATTGCATCAACATAAACAAGGGAATGGTGTTACTGTCTGAAACAGGCAACTTCAGTTATTAAAGACATTATTTTGCAGTTCTTGCAGACATGTAGCAGGTGGTACACCAAAACTGGTACAAAATGGCTTGTTTTTCTAACTTCTATCAATATCAGCTTGAATACAAACTTCATGAATAGACAGTGCCACACCACACAGAATATTTTGCTGCTTCACTTAAAAAACATGATACAAGAGAGGGATTTTCTTATTTTATAAATACACTTGTAACTGGAGCTTTATTAAAAATCTGCTAAGACAGAATGTTTAAAACACAGGCATGGTATTAAACAAACTCCAAAGGCAAGTCTTGTCCAGGATACAAAAAACTTCAATGTTTTCAGGGAGTGCTGATCTCAGACACAATGTGGGTTAGGGCAGGTGTTTCCTTAGATCACAGTGACCGTGTGCATGAGCATGTTCCCTTTGCAGACAGAGACCGGTCCTGTTTCTGTGCCTTAAAGAGGAGTTTAGGGCACAGCAGGGGACACAGGGACTACCTGCTGTACAGGCTTTAGGCTGACTCTTAACTCCCTGAACCTCGGGTTTCAGTGGGGTGGCAGCAGGGTTTCTCCTGTAAGAAACAGACAGTGGAAATGCGCTATGCAAACGGTGAGTTTCTTCAGTCACTGTTCCACCCAACATCAATAACTCTGCTCCTGTAGCTGTACTACCGTGACTGTAAGTAAACTATAATTTTGAGTAACTTTTGCCTTCATCCATGGGAATTCCATGTGAATGTAACCTGGAAAAGGCAAGCCCAGGGCAATGTGGAATTATATATCTGCATGCCAGCTAGTTAAAGATTACAAGTTTAGACACTGAAATGTCTGTTTATTTTCTTCTGCACTGGGAGTGGAGCTTTATTGTCTATTAGCTGGAGTTCAGTCTAAGCCATTTTTATTCATTCGGATTTATTTTTAAGACCAGCTGGTAGCAGGGTCATCACGAGAGCAGATTAGTCACCATGTATAATCCTTTACGTACTCAGGGAGGGCATATATTTGTATATATCTACCTACATATGAGGACTCACTCTGTAGAACAGAAAGTTAGAGCACAAGTGAGAAAAGGTACGGTGAGAAACACATAATACTGAGAAAGTAGGACTGATTTTCCTTCACTATTTTTTGGCTTGTGTTTCCTGGTAAGTTATCCTGATTTTATTTACATATGAGTGTTTGTTGGAAAGTAAGGGATATCTAGGAACAGAGGGACTTTCTTGATTTACTTTTTAAAATGTAATTCTACTCTGTTACAGATTTTTGTTTTCATGCCAGAAGCCAGGAATAATCTTGACATTCAGCATTACAAGGTACTAGGCTTGTATGCTAGTGTTAGACTGTTTTTTTTTTTTTCCTGGATATTCAGACCTCAGAATTTAATCTTTCACCTGTTTTCTTAATTATGTTTCACAGATGTTTTAGAAGCAGAAGTATACAGAGGAATATGTAGTTTTAGTGTGGACATGGTTTTGCTGTTGCTTAGTGTCACATTGATTCCAATAATAAAAATACAAAAATGTAGTACAGTGTAATAATAGTTATATATTATGTAAGCACACTGTTGCTCAATAAGGTTGTCAGTAATCAAGCATTTCTGTATGTCAGGAGGCATTTGGATATTTGGGCAAAACTGACATACTAAGTTAAATGTAAGAGTTGTTACTTATCCAGGGTTTAGTTCACCAGTGCTTTCAATGATTAATGCAACAGCAGGACTATTTGTGCAATGAATGTTACTCAATATGAATAAGGGCTACTGAACCAGACCCTAAAAAAACCTAATTAAAAGCTGCGGTTGGCTGAAGAAGTATTATTCATCATGACATCTGCTTGCTAAATAAAAGTATCTCCAGGGCGAGCATTATGTGATCACAAGGGCCGAACAAAAGCCTAGTGAAATCAAATAGTTAATTGAAGTTTTGTAGAACTGGAGATCAAAGGATTTATTTTGAAGATATAGATATAGATGTAAGGGTAGGTATGATGTTCTTGTTTCTTTTTGGTTTTTATTCACGTAGTTTATAAATCTAAAGCCAGGATTTCTCAGTCCAATGTAGGGCCTTGCCAGCTTGGAAGTTAGCTTCTTTCTTTAGTATGAAAATGTCAGTTATTTTTCAAGGAATTTTACAGAATAAATGTAAATTTTTTCCAATCTATTTCAGGGAGAGGCCTTGACTTTGCAAAAAAGCATTTGTAATGATTCTGGGAAAGCATGTAAGTATCAAATCCCAAAAGCATTCAGATTTCAAAGAATAAGAAATCTTTTTAGTCTGTAACTGATTTTTAAAAGCATATTTTTAAACAAAAAAACAGTTTTCATTTTTCCTCTCAGAAGCTGAACATTTCAGTGAAGATCAGAAGTGCATTTGAGTGTTTCACATTGTGATTTTGTATGTGATTTTTTTGTGGAAAAAAAATTCTCTTCCATGATTTGGAACTGATAGCAGCTTTTGATAGATAAGTTACTGTATTTCTTGTCCCATCTTCATAATAGTTCTGATTAAATAAGTTGTCCAAAATAATTGTAAATCATAATGATAATAATAATAACAATAAAGTAGCTTAGCCCAGTTGTTGTGTTTCTGTTCTACTGTGAAGAGGAAGAAAGCAGTCTGGTGTGAAAATAATTGGGATATTAAAGGTATTTATTGGCAATATCTGGATGGTGTTTAATTAGATCTGTGGGCAGGCTTCAGTCTCACAATCACATCTCCAACTTTTTATAAAGTTTGAGTTCATTATCGAGTGTAGCAGTTTGAGCATTTATATGTCAATCAGAGTCCCTGGATCTGCACGTTGGGAAAACCAGGATCTAAAACATTATCTCGTATTTTCACTTTTGTATTACCTCGGCAGGTTAACAATGTCAGAACAAAACAGAGCAAAACTGAAAGATGCAAATATCCTATGAAATGCTGTTTGTTTTTGCGTGTTTGACTTGCTCTTAGCTGTCATAGAAAGCACTGGATTAATGAGACATAAATAAAAGATCAGTGCTGTTCTGAGGAAGTGAATTCACTGGGAGCGTGAAGTAAAATTATATTTGTGTTCCTTGTAAGGTGAGATTTGTTTGAAACAGTGGGATTGTACCTTGTTGGTGTCATTCTGGTTGTTGCTAAGCAACATGAAGTGGTTTAAATGGAGATACAGAAGAAGATTGTGGAGGAATAAAAAAAAATGAGACATAGAAAAAGCATAAAAGGGAGCAAATGTGCCAGCACATCATGCAAAGAAGTTGCAAAGTATCAGATGGGAAAAAGGCTGTTTAAGATCATAGACAAAAAAGAAAACAGACATAAGGTGAATTAAGAACTTGATTACATACTTCATATTCAGTCTTTCCATATTCAAACTTTCCAGTTATTTGCTTGAACAACCGATAGCAGTTTTGGCCCCAAATAGCACAACTAGTGGCACAAGAGAATAAAAGCCTGGAAAGAAATGTGACATTTAAGGAAAGTTAGGAAATGATACCACCATACCATTAATAACAAGCGAGTTCACTCTCTGTGTTGCTGGCAGCTCAGCAATGAAATGGCAGGGCACTTTCATGCATGTGTTTTCTATTCTACCACAGGGAAGGGGTCATGGCAGTAAGCCTGCCAGAGTTCAGGAAGGGTTTGGGCAATGGTCTCAGAGATATGGTGTGTTTTTTGGGGTTGTCCTGTGCAGGGCCAGGAGCTGGACTCAGTGGTCTTCCTGGGTTCCTTCTCAGGATGTTCTGTGATTCTATGGTTCTGATTCTACGGTTCTGATTCTACTCTAATTTTGCTTCACGTGTTCTTTGAGGTTGTAAGGAAAACATGCTAAAATACCATTTTTATGGAATGCGTATGGTTCTTCCATCACATCTTGCACTGATCCATAGCAAAAATATGCTTCTCATTGTCCAACGCAAGAATGTTCATCATGACTGTATTGAAGCTTTGCACCTGAACTGAAGCAATGCTGGTCCCAGCCTGGCTCAGGTCACTGCTGCAGACAAGACTACGTGCTGGAATGCTGTGGATGGCATTCTGATTTATATTGCCAATACTTTCTCACTGAAACACTTTAATGACTACCTACAGAATCTTCCCTTTTTTTTTTGTGCCTATCTTCATTGTTTCCAAGTTTCACTCCATTTGTCTTCTGTCATTGAAAATTAATCATTCTTAAGATTTGTTCTTTCTAACTTGGTATGTCCCTCTTCCCTTCTCTCTTTTCATAGTATGTATTTATCTTGACATTTTCTGCCTTCAGATTTCCCACCTGTCTTTCCCACTAGTATGTCTTTTGTTATCAAGCCCTAAAAAATCCTTCAGGAAACTGTTCTGTCAGTTTCTTCTGTTTGTCCACTCTGCTTCCCACCCAACCAGACTGCACCTTTCGTGCCTTTGGTCTGTGACACTTGTAGGGCAAAGATGAACAGGAAACCTTGTGTTGAGGGTAAAACCCAAGTGCAAAGTTGTCTCTCCCACCAGTGCTGTCATCACAAGACTTCCACACATCTGTCCCAGACACTGAGCAAGGGACCTAAGTTATTTTGTCTTCTGGTAAGTGAAAAGTAGGCCCATTTGAATAGTTCCTTCCTCCATTTCTTAAAGTTCTGCCTCTGACCTGCCCAAAACCCTATCTCATGCATTATGGGAGCCCTCACATGTCGATTTTCCCACGCGTCCTCAATTGAAATGTCAGGATGTGTCTCATCCTGCCTTCTGCTCTAACCAAAGGTAGTTGTCTCACAGCCAGAGCAGAAATTATCTCACTTAGGAGTGGACCAGCATTGAAAATAACACTCGAGTCAGGTATGCAGCCAGAGGACCAAAACCCATTACTTTTCAATTAAATCTTGGATTCTGCAGAGAGTGAACACTGTTGCCCTGTATTATGGGGCATGGGGAAGTTGTATGAGAAACAGATATGGCCGATTTTTCAAGTGCTGGTCTCACATCGTTCTAGTAAAGCTGAGTGGCCAGGCTAACTCACCACAGCCCTCCTTTTATTAGATGATGACAAATGTTTACAGCTCAGACAAGGGCTTGTGAGGTTCAGGCCTTGTCTGTGTCCCTTTAACTGTGGACAAAATAATATTTATACTTTTCATACTGGTAATGAAAGGATTAATGAGGTAAATTCCATACAGCATTTTGAGCGTGTCAAGCACAATAAAAAATGCAAAGCATGAACATGATTTTATTCCTTCTGTGTTCATTTTTGCACTGAAGGGCACATACAGATTCTTGTGTTGTTAAATTAAGGTATTCTGCATAATTTTGATCACAATTTGGTCAGGCAATAGCTTTTTTCTGGAAATGTTTTTTCCCATTGATAGGTGTTGCTGTGAGCAAACATATTAAAACAAATCATTACTAAGTGATGAATGTTACTAGAAGAGATTCTAATTAATCCAAAAGAATATGAAAGAATCCCCCAAAGTGTAAGAAATCTTTTTTAGGAGGTGAATATTTGAAGGATTTGGTGTGGATGTAGTATGTGGAGATTTAATCATGGGGCTATTTCATTTATTTTCTTGCACTTTGTGTTTCATCACATTTTCTCTGGAGAATATGAGCTATGCCTAATTATGCCAGAAACGTAGTTGCTCCTAAATGGAGACTGGAAAGTACTTTCTTCAGGCAATACTTAGTATGAATTCTTGAATTTTTTTTTCCTTTCCTCCAGGACATGTAAAGCACTTAATGATGCAGGGTTGCATCATTTACTTAACACAGAAAAACCCACTTTTGGGGGCATGATATTTATATTCAACATCTCATCCAGTCCTTAAGATGAGCATTTTCCAATGTACTTCAATTCCTGCTATCTTTTTGTAGGATTGCTTAGGGGCTGAGAATATGAAAACTGATGTCATCCCTCTGTACTCCACTCCAGCACATATGATCTTTCTTTTCTGGAAACACAGTTGTGGTGGATATTATTGTGAATAAATTTACAGCAAGGCCATGTAAGCAGCAGTTTCTTACAAAAACTAAAATAGCAGTACTGGTAGCTCTTCATGGAGGGGACCACCTCCAGCAGACCGCTCATTCCTGTTGCTCATTTGGTTGCATTCCATGCCTGTGGAGTGCTCCACATTCCATATAGGTCCATGTGGGGCAGCTCAGGAAAACCATATCCACCATTTTGGAAATGAAACAAGGCTTGGCCTAAAAGTAATTTTGAGCAGAAAAGATCTTTAGCTGAGCTCTCCAGGAGTGTCTGTGCATTATATGAGCTATGTACAGAAGTCTTTATATTATACTCAGAGTTTTGCAGGCTTTTTTGGCTTGCTTTATTTTTTTCAAAGTTTTACTTCTTTATTTTTTTCATAATTGACTGGTTATTTTTTTTATAATTAGTAGATACTACCTGGGAATACTTCTTTGCCCCGCACATAAAATGTAATTTCTTAGGCTTTGCTCTAGCTATCCTAATGTTAAAGTGGATTGCCTATGACAAAACCCATCCTCCAAAATATCACTTACTTATCTCCATTTCTGAAACAGAGACTCATCTCTTCTCCCCATGAGATCCCCATTGTAACACTTAAAGGCATCAGCCCATGCTGGGTTAAGACAGAAGACAACAACCCTTGTTTTTGTCCTACAGCTGGAATTTTTCATGCCTGTGATAATTCTGAGTTCCCTGAATTCAGCCAGTGAGATTGATAATGGTGATGCCCAATGCTAACTGAAGTGCCGTGGGTGGAATGGGTCAGAGAGATTTACTCTCCTCCCACACACGAAGTGCAGAAGGAAAACAACCTTGGCTAATCTGTTTTCCTACATGTGCAGAGCACAGTGAAACAGAAATTAGTGACTTTACCCGTGTAAGAAAAACAAACCCCCTGAAGCACAGATGCTGAATTATCCAGTTATTAAAAAACAAGAGTCTTTTTCTGTGCATGTAACTCCTGCAGATTGCCATGAGAACAGCCCCCCTGGACTGCATGATCAGAAAGCCTTTTAACATAGTGACAGGAAAAGGATCACTTTTTTAACATTTCCCAATTAATTTCATCAAATTGCCTGTGATTCATCTGGTAACTGCACAATCTTTAATATCTTTGTGTCAATCAAGAGGTCTCTATTGCTATGTTCCTTTTGTTAAATATAAAAAATAATGCAAAACCTATGAGGATGAATAGTGTTAATGACATTACTGACAAAAAAACCTGCTTAAAATCACAGTTAAATCCTTCTAACAATGATATTCAGAGAGTTCATAAGCTAGAAAACACCAAAGAGCTAATAAATTTCTGTAATATATTTAAAATACCAGAATCCTCAGTGTTGAGTGCTACAGGTTGACTGTAGCAATAGAAAGCATTCACAGCAAGTTCCCAAGCATGTGTTTTCTGCTATTGCTTGGCAAATAATCAGTGCTCAACTGCTTCCTAATATCTTCCAGTCCCATAGTTACAGTAAAACCAGTTACTCATGACAATGCACATAAAATATTTTCAAACTGCTAGTCTGAGTTCCTTAATGATACAAGCATATTTCATCTATCTATATGAAATATTAGGATTTAAAAGGTACAAAATGTTTTTTCGCTTTGACCATCTTTATTTTCTTGCTTTTGCCTCCTACAGCTGCTGTACTATCGAGTTTTACTCAGCATGTTTATAGTTGTGGTTATTCAGGAAGCCTGCAAAATATGTGAGCAATTCAGCAAAAACTTTCTTCAAGCAATACTAGGCTTGGAGGTAGCACAGGAACAGAGTGTGCTGGATGTTTCCTTAGGCTGCCTGTTGTAAAGAGTGGAGTGTGACTTCAGAGAAAATGAGATCAACGTTTGCTGCAATGATTTTAAGAAATTGATCTTCATTTCTCAGTTCAAAGCACTGAGCAGTCAGTCTGGATAAAGCATATGGCAAGGAGGATATATCAGCTCCCCTGTTTTGAATTTGAGGGGTTTAACTTTCCATTTTACCAAAGGTTTTTATGTTATTTCAGACAACTGAAATGTAGGGGTTTGAGTTACTTCAGAGAAAGTATAGACTACATATATATGCTCTAAAAAAATAGATCCCATGAGAACATTAATGATAGAAAGTACCACACAGCAGCCCATGCCTCACATTGACTTCACTCTGTGTGTTGCAGTTAACACTGAGCTGACGCATCTGAGTCCTCTCCTGCGTGAGCAGGAGGTGAAACTTCTGAGAGAGGGCAGGCCAGGGGCTGAGGGCAGTAGTCACCATCACCACTGCAGGGTCATCCCTGTGCCACCCCTGAGGCTCAACCCTGACTAACTCTAGTTTCCACAGAATCATAGGATTGTTTAGGTTGGAAAAGACCCTTAGGTCCCGAAGTCCAAACTTAGCCTTGCATCTCCTTGTGTTCATCACTAAACCATATCTGTAAGTGCCATATTTACACGTCTTTTCAATACCTGCAGCAACAGTGACTTAAGCACTTCCCTGGGCAGCCTGTTCCAGTGCTTAACAACCCTTTCTGGAAAGAAATTTTAATTAAAATTCAATCTAAACCTTACCTGGTTGAGGCCATTTTCTCTTGTCCTGTTGCTTGTTACTTGTGCAAATATGCAGACCCCTACCTGTCTACAGCCTCCTTTCAGGGAGTTCTGGAGGGTGACAAGGCTTTCCCTGAGCCTCCTTTTCTCCAGGCTAAACAGCCCCAGTTCCTGCAGCTGCCTCCCATAAGACTGGTGCTCCAGACCCTTCCCCACCTTTGCTGCTCTTCTCTGGACCCAGTTCAGCACCTCAATGTCTTTCTGGTAGGGAGGAACCCAAAAACTAAACACTGGATTCAAGGTGTGGCCTCACCAGTGCTGAGTGCAGAGGGATGATCACTGTCTTAGTCCTGCCATGCTCAGTCATGCTGTCATGTTTGTGCTTTGTTAGGTACTCATGGGAGTCAGAATTCTTAAAAGTGTTTCAATTGAGCAAGATTTTCTGCAGTTGTTTCCACTTAAGGTGCTGTGCAAGTGAAATCCAAATGTCATGGCTGAAATATTGCTTGTCTCAGTTCTCCAGGTTTCTTACATCTCCAAGGTTTCACACTTCCTTCCTAAAGTTATTTTTCCCTGTTGGTGGTTTGGCTGCTAGATCCCACTGTGACTTTGATGGTTTCCTGTTTTCCCTGACCCACATATCAGAATATTCCATCTACAATGTTTTTGAGTAAAAGTATATTATTGTAATGTATTTCATTGCGTATCCTGAGTTTTCTTTTCTCTCAGTACCTTTTTGAAGATGATGGCAAAATAAACCAACTACTATAGTTGCTCTCACAGAAGAATCTATTCCTGTCTCTAACTTTGTTAGGTGAGCATTGCTTGTGCCCAAAGGTCTGAGTGATTAGCAGTAACATGACTGGTATTTTAATTCAGGAGTACATCTGGTTATAGTCTCTGTGCACAGATATTTATGCCTCATGTCATTAATAACCAGTAATAGTGTCTAATAAGGTTACATCTATGTGTACATTGTACTGAGAATGCCATTTAAAAAACAAGCCATGCCTTGTCTTAAAGGTCAAAGTTGTAATCAGATTACCTTCTGCATATTGAGAAATGGAAAAAAATTAATGTATGAGATGGATAGCAAAAACATGTGTTTGAATAATAATAGGAGGCAGTATTGATGAAAGCTGGGTCTCTGTGAGGAACTACCCAATATAGGCAGGTAACATGATTGACACGCATTTGACCTGTGAGAAGATGTAGACAGTGTATGACTTTACTACAGATTTTCCAGTCTTAGAATGCTGGAATCATGGATGCTGAGAGTTTTAAACTTTGTGTGCTTAAAGGCACAGACCCACAAGAGAACACTGCATTTGACCTGAGGCTGTGGAACAGGCTTTTAAAATTGATTAATAGCACTGGGATTATGGGCGTGTAATTGGCTAGAAGTGTGTAATATCACAGGATGGAAAATTTAGAGTTTGGGATTTTAGAATATAGAAATAAATATGAAGCAAGATGGAGGTTTTAGGGTGGAGGTAGGTTGTTCTTCTTTACCTTCTTCTTCCTCTTCTTCATGGGTTTGGGTGATGTTTTGTAATTGGACAGGAAAGTCTGTATTGCGGGCTTCGAGGGGTCAGTTATTGGGTTAAAAGGGAAAATAATCTAGGTGTCCTTTCTTAATTGGATAGTTTAGTCTTAAAAGACCTAGCAACAGGAGTTAGCCATTTTGTGCTTTGGTAATGAAAAGCTGCCAAACTCATGGTAGTGAGACTGTAAAATAGATAAGAAATAATAAACACCTGAGTCCAAACATGAAAAACCTCAAGTGCCTTCAATCCTGACCTTGAGAAATGGATACTAGCATGAGTACACCTTTGTGTAACCTTCAGCAAGCCCATTCTGATCTGCTGCATACACAAGTCAGTACCAAAGCCATGTTCCAGCAGCAAACCTGGCCATGGCACCTTGATGCTTCCTCACAGGAACCTCACTGAGTTTTCAGCTTCATGTTTCCAGCTTACCACAGTGCAGCTTAAGAGGTGCAGTGCCATTGCTGCACTGCTCTGAGGGAGCTCTCTACTACCCCACTTCTCCTCTTGCTCCAAAATCTTAGGGGTTATCCTGAGCCCAATCTGTGGGTCCCAGACAGTCAAGCTGCAGTTGGCCACCAGCCTCTAGACTGTCCTTGGGGGGCTGCTGGGGTGCCCTGACTTTGCTTAGCCCAGCTCTTGGCTGCTGGGGTGCCCTGACTTTGCTTAGCCCAGCTCTTGGCTGCTGTTACGCTCCAGATCTTTGCTGCATTGTTTTAAACTCCTGCTTTTTGGCTCTGCATGCTGCTTCTGCCTCTGAACACCTTAGCTGACCTGCTTCTCTGTTCTCAACCACTTCACCTGATCTTGTTTGATCCCTGACTGCATCCTTCACTACCTCCTCTGGCCATCCCATGCTCCTGACCTGACTCTTGGGATATGAGTTTTTCAGATGGGAGACATGGAAAATGGAAGGACTTACTCCTTTAGAGCAGATAACTTTTCTCTTCTTTACCTCATCATGACCCATTATTAATTTTAAATGTAAATAATTCACGAAGTTAAACTTAGCAAACAAGAAATTTAGGTAGCCACTGCAGTTAAAATGAGTGATTTCTCTTAAGTACATCAGAGAAAAATAGGACTGTATATATCTTGCTTTCTCAAGAAAGACAGAGACTCACAAAAATACAGATATTCACAAGGCACATCTTTATTTGCTCTACACAGATGATTGTTTGCTTTAACACCTGTGTGATTTATGATGTAATCACAGTCTAATGATGCCATCAAAGACTGTCCTGTGCAATGAGCAAAAGTGACTCATTGTCAAGTTAAATAGCAGAAAAGGAATGAAAATGTGCATTCACCACATTCACCAGTTGTCCTATTAATGCAGAGTGGCATAAAGCACCGTGAACACCTCAGTGTATGCAGGCTCAACAGACTTCCCCAAATCTGTTTTATTACCTCAGTATGTGTGTGCTTTAGCCTGCACATCAAATCCCTGTGCTGGCTTTTCCCCCTTGGGAGCAGTGTTATGTCCTGTCACGCTCTGCTGGCTGCTTCCCTCCCCACACAGTCCAGCTGCCCATGGCAGCACCCACATGGCTGGGTGCCATCCACCCCACAGCCCCTGTGCACTTATCCATGATTATCCTTTTTCCAAAACAGCAAGAATGGCTATGACAATAACAATGTCCAGAAAGTATCACCTCTTTGTCTTTAAAGACCTGCATTTTAACTGTTTATAATTAATTAGGAAAGGATAGATGTTGTACAGTACAGTGCTATTAGCCTAGTAGGAAAGATGTTAACAATTGCCATAAATAATTTGTTATGTAGTCCCTTAGCCTCTAGAACAATCACTACCAAACATTTATTTCTTTAATGAAATGTCCTTTCTTCTCTGGTTGACTCTTTGTAACACAGGAAGAATTGCATCCTCTGTGTAATCAATAAATAACAAGGAATGATTCCCTTGTAACTGCTCTACTTCTAATGCTGCAACCCCAGTGGTTTCAGCATCGTTTCTCATGATTTGCACTAGAGAAGTTGAGATCAGGACCTTTGTGTTCTTTAACTAGTAAGACCAAGCTCTTTCAAATGTCAAACAAAGTACTCCTGGCTTTCCCTAGCAATTGGTAAAATGTCAGGGGACAAACTGGCCTGGCATCCTGGGGCTGGCCATGAAATTTAGAGGGGAGGAGGCTGGTGGGGCTCCTGCAGCCAGCTATCTGTTATCCTCCCACTGCAGCAGCTGGCTGACCAGGAGATCTCCAGCTACAGGCTGGAGAAAGATTGGTGTCAGTATGAAATTACTCCTGGGTGCAGGCAAACCAAGTGACTCCCCACAGCTGAGCTATAAATTAGTCTCTGCAGCTTGCCAGCATATCCTGCCTGCTGATAGCTTATAAATAAGTCAGCTGCAGAGCAGGGTTAATATTTACCTACATCTCAGACAGGTGGCATTCTGAAGATGAAAAGTGTTACAGAAATGCTAGAGCAAGTTATCATTAAGCCTCCACACTGGCATATTTACTAATCTCTAATAGCTTACAGAGGTGCAGAAATACAATTAAACTAGAAGAAATCTATAGCTTCTTGCCTCCTGATAACACCTCATCTTCCCATGTATTGATTTAACGCCTGTGCTGGTGGTGTAACAGATGTTTACTGTATTTTACAAGTACCACTGTGCTGACCTGATTTCTGTGTACTGCTTATGGCTGTTTCTTTGCTCCTTTGGGTGGTATTTATTTATTGTTTCTGATGAAATATATGGAAGCTTACCAGAGAAAGACAGGGTGGCTTATCCATAGCATAGGTGCATATCTGGAACAGAACTCAATATGTTGAAAGGAAGGTATTATTTTGAGAATCAATTAATTTATTGTCTTCTGACACCTTAAGCTGTCACTCTTCTTTGATTGTGTAGAACCTCTGGTCATTAGACACTAATTCTCCACATCTCAAAAACCATGATGCTGCACAGACCTCTGTGCTGAGCCTTCAGCTTAGAGTGCAAGAGAAAACCTGCCCTCTGCCAAGGTAACATTCCCTCTTCCTTCTTCCCCTTGGTCCTTCTGAAAAGATTCATAGCAAGAATGACTCAGGGCCAATTCCCAGAACACGACAAGATGAAACAGGGACATTTATATTCTTCATAAACTCGTGGTCTTTTTAACATGGTCATTGGCACTCACAGGGATGTACTACAAGTGCTAAGTATGAGCCTGGTCACAGCACTAATTGGATGCAGCAGTTCAGCCTGTTCCAGGATTTGCTCTTTGCCTTAGCAAACAAGGATAAGGTGGGTTAGCAGCCCCTGGCACCCCATCCCACATATGTGGTTCATTTGCAAACTTTAGTGTTTATGGCTGTGAGAGCAGGAGCCAGTTTGGAAATGCTGGATGCAAGAAGCAGGTTGCTTTCCTGTGGATGAAAAGCACGAGGTGTTGTGAAAGCACTGTTTTAGATATCTATTTTAGGATGAGATGATCAGTGCTCTGTAAGTGACTCTTTCTTTCCACGGTTACGGATGAAACCTAGATGGAATATTTACATTGTAGATGTCTGTACTTGCTTAGATGAATCTCACCCTTAAAGCCAAATCTAAATGTCACCAGGTGTAATTTAAACACATTATTCCTTGTCCTTCTCACCACACCTTTCCCCAGCTAATTTCTCTGTCACTCTTCAGTCCTCTCTTTGGCTAAAAACCTACATCCTTCCATTTCTCCTTGCAGGTCTTATTTTCTAGACTTTCAAATTTGTGTCATCAAGGATGTCTTGTGCAGACTGGCCTTCCCAAGCCAGTCCATCCTGGGGTGTAACACGCTCTGTGGGCTTCCTGCAGAGCTGTGCTTACTCTGGTGATGATCCTGCCACTGTACCTACCTCACAACCACTGCTGGTTTTGGAACACCCAAGCAAATCTCTTAACCTTGACTGCTGCAGGTGTCCCCCCTGCCTCTCTCTCTGGATGCTTTTTGATATAGTTATATGAAGACTGGAATAGGAATAGAGTATAACAGGAATTATATCTTGTGGCAAATAAATCGCCTCCTATAAGGTCTGGATGGAATTCAGAAGCATGCCCCATGGAGATACGCCTTTTGGAAATGAGAGGAAGTTCATCATCAGACACATAAACATGCAGAATATTCTGTTTTCTCAGCATCTATCTTTTGTTAGATGAGCCCCATCTGGAAAGTCCAGATCATATCTCTTCTGTTCTAAAACAGCCTGCAGTGAAGCACTAGAAGAGAATAATTGATTTGGCAGGTACATTTTCATGCCATACTCAGCTCTAGGATTTCCTGAAGGGTCTTCAGCTAATAGTATCTTAAATTTATACTGATTACTTAAAAGGGAAGGAGCTGAGAACAGTGGATGTCCTAAATTTGTGTGAAGTCCCACAAACATCTAGTTACTGGACTGGGGGTTTTCAGACACCTATTGCTGGATCCATGAAGACTCTTAGAAGTCATTCCTTCCTCTAAAACTTCTCTGTTAGAGGCAGGAGCCTTGCTTGAACCTTGGAAACAGCGCATGTAATACCTTTGTTGAACTAGTTTCCATGGTAACAATTTCATGTCACTGAACATCGTTAAAGACAATAAGAAATATGAACTATTCCGTTTGCTTGTGTTTAGAGTTCTATTGACCTCCCTTTCTGAATAACTGTTCTCCTGGAAGAAAAGACTCAGGGCAAAACAACGGATGCTGGAGGTGTACTTGCTTTGCTGTCACATTATTATCAAGCCTTTCCTTTGATTTTTCAGCTTGGGATTTCAGAAAAATCTCTGTAAATATGAGTAGGCATGGAAACGTGGCACAGATATTTCTGTCTCTAACACAAAAATAAAGCAGCTAAGGATGACTGTGGTTAAATGGCTTGTCCAGAGGGGAGTTAAAGCGAAGCATGAGGAGGCTGAGCAAGAAACTACATGCTGTCATGACTTGACTTCCTCCATTTACTCCTTGCCAGAACATGATGGTTCCACTTCATATCAAAGCTGGATAAACAACTGTCAGTCTCCTTTGCCACCTGCCCCTCTGGCACAACTTTAAAAATGAAAACCGTGGCAAATCTCGACATATGTGAGCAGCTTAACTCTTCTTACAAAAAATTTAGCAATAAAATGGAGTGAGAGTGAGATGCACTAGTAGGAAAATTCAGCAGTTGTCTGTCATTTTCTCTGTGCACTGGGTTTTTTTTTTTTTTAGCTTACCTATTTAACATTTGTTTTTTTACCCAATGATTTTTTGTGTACTACACTCTTCTCTCATGGGCAACATTTGTCACTCCTTCCTCTAGTGCAGGATTGCAGCCCCAGCAATGGAAATAAACCATGTCTTGGCTCTGGCTCTAAAATCACACTGGCTTCTATGTAAGGCCTTTCCAGCAGCCTGAAGGTCTCCTGTGATACATCACCTGCAGGGACTTGCACAGCATTGGGAAAGACCCTTGAAAACTGATGCTAAGAAAAGTAGTCAGTTAGAAGGATTTGTGAATGCCTTCTACTCTACATGACAGCCATAGCAAGCTGGGAAGGGTCTTTCAAAATGGGAGGACAACAGGGGGAAAAAATATGTACTTTTTTTTTCAGAACCAAGCCTACAGATTAAAATATTTCACATTTTTGTATTTGCAGATATGATGCTGGCAGCCCATGTTACTCCAGTATGTTAGACTGGGGTGTGAACTACATCCAGAAGGCGCAGAGTACAGATTTCAGAAGACAAATGGTTCACCAGCTGAGATATGCATTCAGGATGCTGCCATCCTATGGCAAATAGCTAATTGGCTGCTATCACCCACAGGGTGCCTGAACAGAAATCAAGGGAAGGACACATGTTTCATTTCTGCCTGGTGGAAAGCTGTTTGAGGGGGGATGAAATAATACACTGTGTTACTACAGGTTTATAATTCAATAAAGAACTATCCCTTTTCTACTGACTCTAAAATCAAGCATTGTTTTCCACACCAAAAGAAAGGGCTGAGAAACTGTTTCAGATTAAATGAAAAAAATTATAAAGCTTTCAGAGAGCCCTTCAGCAGCTTCTGCTGCAGCCTGAGAAGCAGGAGGTGGAACACAGCTGCAAGGGAGCAAGAGGATTCCTATTTCTTTAAAAAGTTCAACAATTATTCATATTTAGGTACAATATAACACCTTTTGTCTGGATACTGAAGACTGACAGCATCATGATAATTCTTCCCTCTTCCCAGGGAAACCTAGCATTTTGGGTCATACACCCTAGAGGTGGGAGGACAAAGTTGGACTTCCTGATCTTGGAGTTGAATGCTGTGTCTCCAAAATTCACTTCCTTAAATATACAAGAAAATATTTGACGTTACATTAAGCCAGCAGCTCCCTAACCTGGTGGTGACAGGCTAGGTGGGTGAAGGGTTGGTGGGTTCCAACTCATAGAGTGGTAAGATGTGGATTTTCCCACAGCACTGTCAAATGTAGTGAAGGATTTGATCTTACCAAATCTTTTCCTGTGTTTCCGTTAGCTTTACAATGCTGCAGCAGAATGAAACACAAAAATCTCAAAGTAAAATGATCTGACATTTTCAAAATATTTTTTTCTGCCTGAATTATTCAAAACATTGAACATGAAACTTCAATAAGCATAGAGACTCCTAAACTGTCTCTCACTGACAAAAAAAATATTTGCTACAAAAATCAATTTAGGTACCCACTAGGATTGAATGAGGCACGAAAAGTTCCTTACATTAATATTCTGATTTGTAATTTTTCAGGCAAAAAATCCTAAAAATAATTTAGCATTGCAACTTAATTTTTTAAAATAACATTCTGCCTGCTGGAATGAAAAGAAATCCAGAGACTTTGAAATAAGGGAAACCTCAACCACAACCCCACTTCCAGCTTTTTTAGCTGAGCCTTGAGTATTTTCCCAATCCCAGGGCAAGCAGTTCCCCACGTTATTGAACTGTTTTGGTCCTGGCTATGTCTATCTGATGGAGCTGAGCAGAGCTGCTTCCAGCAAGGGATCTGGGGATCCTGGCTTTGAGACAGGTTCCTTTACAAGCTGCAATGCTGCTTGCCCAGAAAATGGTTGGCTGAGCTGACAGAAATCCAGGATGAAATAACATGCACAAAACTTTGGATTTCAAATATCAAAATGGTTTTCATCTGACTTTTTTTCCAATGACCTTTTAAAATTAATTCAGCCTTCTTGGCACATTTATTATCAGTGAGAAAAACAGCCTTTACCTTTGAGCCTACACATGATATTTTCCTTCCCTTTTTTCACTTTCTCTGCTTTACTCTCTCTTTTAAACCTTAGCAACCTTCCTATCTTTTTCCTCCTCTTGCAGCAAATCCCAAATCTGAACAAAAATCTGCCTTGTTCTGTTGGTACAACTTAGGACCTTACCATTTACATGGGCATGAACTATGGTGTCATCTGACATTGGCACTCATTTCAGATGAAAGAGTGATGCAAAGGAGGAGGGGGTGGACATTGCAATTTCAAATTATATACATTACATCAGATGCCTTTTCTTTCTTTTTAAAAACTCAGTGGCCTTTCTTAGTCCTAAAAAATTTTTGTCCAAACCTCCTTTCTACTTTGAAGAAATTAAAAGCTGCGACTGAAGCTTGTCTCTATCAACAGCTCAAATAATTCTTTAATGAAGAGAACCAGAATCCTGTCTCTGTTTTCACACAGACTTCAGTTCAAAGGAACTTGCTTGAGGATAGCATTTAATTGACCTCAGTGATGGAGCACTAGCAGGACACCTCTTGCCTAGCAACAGCCTTCAGGTAGGAAAGCTTTAATAACTGCTGGGATTTAGACACCAGGGAATGCTGTTGCACAGCTGTGAAGGTTTCTGAGCAGCCCAAAAGTGAGCCAGGCTGGCTCCCCTAAAACAACCTTAGGCCAGGGAGGCTGGCTCATAGGTTCTGAGCCAAGCATCAGGAGGTTGCACCTGGGTCTGTAGGCATGCCAAAGCCCACTCTGTCCTGCAAGCTGCAAGGGCTCACACCAGCACCCAGAAGTTCTCCTTCACCTGTGAGCCACAGCTGGGGCTCCTGAGCCTGGGTCAGGTATGGTGGCTTTCAGCTTTGCACGGACAGCTTGGAGGTCAGGCGGCTACGCCACACAAATGGCTTGCAGAGAATTATGTGGAAGCTTGAAATGTCAGGTGGTAATTTCAGAAGCTTGAAATTTCAGGTGATAACCAAAACTGTACCTTTTTTGGTAAATAAGGAAATGTTACCTGGCTAGGGTTCATTTTATGCAATAAAGTATGTTAAATGACAGACCAACCAAAGGAAAATAAAACATAGAAAAAAGAGATAGCACTCAAGTTTAACCAAATTCTTTTTAAAAAGGACTTTTTTCTGCATCTTCAGTTCCTAGAAAAAGAAAAAATTTCCAAAGCCCGCTAACAGAGAGGGTCTTCCTCCTACTAAGCACATGTTGAGGTTCAAGTCCTTTGTCTTTTAAATATAGGACACTTTGAGAAATTAAGTTGACAAAGAGAATTTAAGAGAACAATCAATATTGCCAATGAGAGGTAAATACAGTAAATTTTGCCAGCTGCTGCTAAGAGAGAGAAGGGCAGGCAGATCTACAGCCACAAGGGTTGAAATGATCTCTCAGGATGGGCTAAATAAAGTAAAAATTGATTGTTTGGACAAAGAGAAATAAAACCAGCAAGTTCCCCCTCCAAGTGCTGAAGTATCACCTTTGGACCACATCATATCTGGTGGTCTGCATTTTTTTGGTCAATGTCCTCTGGTGGAGCCATGCTCTGATGTTGGTAACAAAGGGAGAAGGCAGAGACAGCTGTTCACATCTTACCTTCCAGAGTGCAGAAGTTTCCCACCTTATGCTTCTCTTTGCTATGCTTTTTCCTAAGAATGTTCTCTGTGGGCATTTGCATTCTGACATGACTGAGCTCAGGGTACGCTCTGCGAGTCAGGTCCAAGATGGAAGATGGAGAGCTGAAATCAGCATGGAGCTGAGTCCAGTGCAGAAGCCCCATCCTAAAAGGGGCTGTAGCTTGTGCAGGTCCAACACTGGGTGTATTATTTCAGCCTGGCTCAGAGCACTACCAGGACAAGTTGAAAAAAAACCCACTGTTTTTTCACATTTTATAGAAACATATTGAGACATGGTTTTCACACATCTGGGTAACATCTGGAGTAGCTGGCCATGAGATTTCATGGGAAATTATATTTTCTTGAAAGTGTGCTCCTTTTGCCTTTATTTTGATGCAAAACTGAGGAGTGGACTTTGTTCTCTGCCGAATGAGAGGGTGTTTTCAGCAACATTTATGGACAGCAGTTGAGTTAGTCTCCATTTATAACATCTGAGAGTTGAATCTGGCCTGCAGTCGAGCCAGTAGGTCTCGTGGGATCTCATGTACACTGTTTTGAAAATCTATTTTTTAAGGAAAACAAAAGAAGTTCCCATAATTTGAAGCTCATAATGTTTGCAGTAATCCAACTATACAAAACCAAATGCCCCCCAAGTAAAAGTCCATCAGGAAGCAAACAAGAATTTATTTTTCTGGTGCCTTGCTGTTCTGCAAAAGGACTATTTTCTATTTTCTTCAGGAGGGAGCACAGAGGCTCCAGTGCATGTAGACCTCACCAAGAAGGGAAGGCTGAAAGGAAGGCTTGACTTGAGGGTGAGCAGATCCAAACCCTGCTGTCATGCAGGTTCCCTGGTTGAACTTGAGCATCGCTTTGTTTCTCTTCCCATCTGTCAGATGGGATTATTGCTCCACTCGGGCACTACAGGGATGGGGGCCAGGGAATAGCTGTAGCAAGATGAAGACTTTCTAATCTTGCAGCTCCTGACATCTGTGCTGGTAACAAAAAGGCCACTAGTGTAGGTGGCTTTATATAAAGTGAGGAAACTGCATCAAGACCTGAAACAAACCAAGACCTCTGGCTTCTTTGTCTTAATGAAAGCAGCTGAACAGAGAGTTATTTCCAACAGTTTTCATCTATGAATAGGAATCCTGGTTCTCTGGGGGGGTTAGGGTTATCATTCCCCATTAGTGTTCATGCTGTTCTCCAATAATACTTTCCCTTGTCTTTTGCTTGTCTGCTTTCTTCCCCTTCCCCTTCAATTCCCTATTTCTATTTCACTGTTCCTGCTTTTATTTTCTTCCATCCATCAGTTCTCAGAATGTTTTCAAAGCCAGACTAACTGTTAAATCACAGCCTTCTTTGACAAGCCAGCTTCTGATCTCTGCTTATATTTTAACTCAAAATGTACTTCTCCCATCCCACCTCACAGTGGGAAATAAGCAGAATGTCTGAACACACTTACGAGTACATTTCTATTTCATGAGGAAGAGAGATAAAGAAAAACACCTATCTCTGAGATTCCCAGGAGTACTGGGAGCTGGTACCACTCCTTTTGCCCAGTTTTGCAGGTACCAAATTGCTGTTTTCTAATCTAGAAACTGGGTTTCCACTGATGTGACAGTGTCTATATTCACACTGTAATCAACATCCACCTCCTGGCCGTATTTTAAATTGGATTAGGGTGTGAGTTTCCTTCTCATTTTACAATCAACATGAGCAAATGCTTTGTTTATCAAAGCAATCTGAGTGATACATAATGGAAAGCATTAGCTCTATCTGGAACAATTTTAACCCTGGAGTAGGTGCGTTACAATAACGGGAAATCCATTCTGCTAAAAGCTTCCTTCAGGATCATTATCTAGAGACCTGCTAACCCTGCAATTGTTCCCACAGCCCCAGTACCTTCTTCAAAAACAAAATAATGACCATAGCTGCCTGCTTCTGAGTATGAACAGCCCAGCTTGCTGGTACTCAGGTGGATGCAGTATTCCATGTGGATGCAATGCTTCCCTCCCCAGATAATGAGAAAATGTAGACTGAATGCTTTGAACTGAGGTTTCCCTACTAGTACAGATCCTTCTTGTATAAAGACTGTGAGGGAA